ATACATAAGTATCGTGAAAGTTATGATGTGAATGTATAGGCACGATCGACTGGAGTGACAGTGCACGCAGCAACTACTAAATATATTTCGCTAATATGTTGGTAATGTTTAGCAGCTAGATAAAAATTAAATCCAGATGAATCATAAAATAATGATATTTTGTTGATAAGTCAACTAAAATATCGATATATCTACAGTTTTAAAAGTTACATCCCTAGTTCTATCCGCCATTACAGGTGACCAAGTGAAGTTTTTGTAGGCACGATTTTTTCTAGTTGTTTCTTATCCATACTCTTATCATATCAGTGAATAAAGGCCACAGAGTAGTGTTGGGCCCACTTATCGATAGGAATAATATACTCCTCTATGGATAAGTATTCTTCACGGGCCTGCGAACGGCGAGAATGAGTAGTTCGCCGCTCGGCCAGAACCAGACCCGAGAGACCTCAAATCTGTAAAAACAAACATTATAAAATGACGGTACTCAACGAGTTAATTGTTTCTGGTACATTACAATGCTTAGTATCAAATATATTAGTAGAATTTATCATGAATATTTTGAGGTGTAGTATCTATGTAAGATCTATGTTATATAATGTAATGTATCGCATTTGTATGAATAGTAATAAAAGGTAATCGATCGGGAACAGACGTTTCATTAAAACATACTCCCTTCAATTTGTTTGAGAGGAAGTTGTTATTATCACAATAAAAATAAGTAGTAATAAGTAGCAAATTACTTTCAATTTACAAACAACAAAATAATACATATCTACATATCTACGAATTTTAGGATTTTGGCATAGACAAAGTCACAGAATAAACAACTTCAAATGTCAAATAATCTGTCAAAATTGACTCGTTTTCGTTTTTCTATCTGCCTGTGGAGGAGTGGTATTTTCTATGTAAAATAACCTATAATACTAGCAGCGAACTGGAAATTATTAAGTAAAAATATTTAAATAAATAGTTGGAACGATGTCTCAGAAAGCTGCATCAAAAAACCCGAAGTCTAAATCTACCGAAGAAGTTTTCTCTGGCTTTCAAACTCTTCGGGCTGAACAACGCCAATTAGCAAACAAAATTTCTGAGTTAGAAATGGATCTCAACGAACACAAGTAATATTCTTCAATAACACCACTCAGATTAATAAATTATTCATGTAGCAACATCTGAATATAACCTGTTTTTGTTACAGAATAGTCATTGAAACTCTTCGTGGAGTGGACAAAACACGAAAATGTTTTCGAATGGTGGGCGGTGTTTTAGTTGAACGCACGGTTGCTGAAGTTTTGCCTGAACTTGAGAGCAACTGTGAACAGTTGCCAAAAGCTCTTAAAGCGTTGGAAGAACAACTTACCAAAAAAGGTCGCGAGATTAACGAGTACATTGAATGCCACGACATTCGCCTTCAGCGAGTAGATCGACCTGCTGCTGAGGCTGCACCGGAGCAACCCTCAAAGTCCAATGTTCTAGTAGCCAGTGGATAATTTTAATTATGATATTTAAAATCAATATTGTTATTAATAATACTAATACCTTTCTCGTTTCAATATTTGGGACAGAAATATGTACTACTTATTGTACTACCATCTTTACGACATGCCAGACATCAAGATGTGGATAAACAAGTATTACACAATATTAGTGACTGAATGAGGATGAGATTGAGCAAGAGCAACGACTAATGGTATTGTCTGAAGTATGAACACAATTTGCCAACTAATTGCTGCTGTCTACATGACAGTGAACTGCTTGTTTTAATTATTGTATTAAAATTTTGGCCACAAATAGTTTGAGAATCACAATTATTATTTTACTGCTTACTGTGTACATTATAGAATTGAAGCATAGTAGGTACCACCTGTAACTGGTGTATTGTTCATGTATTCATTTATTGAGTTTACCCAATATTTAACTTGCTATTTGCTTATTAATGCAATAAATTTTGTTTAAATTACTGACCAAAAAGCAGTTTTTAACTTCATTAGAAATAAAGGGCTTAAAGGAATTTGTTTTTTTTTTAAGATGGCTGTAATGGATGTAATTTTAAGATGTGCATGTTTTTTGGAAATTGCCCTTTCTCCCTATGGGGAGAACAGGCTCTTTACTTAACCACTTTTTATGAATCTACTAAACTGATAAATGAAATTGAAATTTGGTATTAAGATAGTGAGACTCAATAAAAGCACGAGTTAGTTTTATCCTGGAATACCTATGGGAATGGGAACAATCCATTAAAACCCCCAGGATTATCTATCTCTTAAAACAATGAAAGTAGGTATTTAAAGGAAATTCAGTACATCAACAGTTTGAGACCCAGAAAAGTGAAAATAGTTTTCATTCAGGACATCTCACGGGACCGGAAACTGGGATATGATATAGGGCACCTTCGGATTGGCCGCGTAATGGCAGCCAGCATGATCGTTGAGTTTAAACATATTTTAAGTTCATGTTGAATGAAACAATTTAAATTGGATACTTTGATATTATATAATTTAATAAAAAACATTGGTAGTATACAAATATTATTAATTATGTAACATGTCAATATCATAGCTTACAGCCTTAATTCCATAATAATTATATTCCATGGACAGATAGGAAAACACTGTCTATGGCTACAGTTCTAACTTCATTGCTATTTATTCACCACAGTAATAAGTACTTACTTCCTACACAAAAATATAATGTTATAATCATTCTCATTAATTATCATTGTCTTAAAAATAATTAGATTATTCTTATAGATTCAATATAATTATGTAATATTTATCACATCAAACATACAAAAATATACAATGTTTATTTAGTACACTAATACAATGTACATTATTAAATGGTAAAAAATACATTACATATTTATGTAACTATCAATACACAAATATGTTGCAAATGATCTTCACTATAAACAGTTTGTTATATACTAATTCCCGCTCCCAGTCAGCTGCATGTCATGAACTACTGAATGAAGAAGACTGGCCACAGTACTAGGTTGACCCACATCCCGGCCAAAGGGACAGTTATCTCACTTTTTTCCTTGTGGTCGTCAATTACCCAACACCATGGCTATGGCCTGTAAAGTGGATCTCACATTTATTTACATAATCATAATATGTCGCAAGTTAGCTTATACCCACTCAACCGTCGACATAATATGTATATATATCCAGTATGCTAGTCATAATAATTGTGCATAAAATAGAAATGTCGTCCGCGCCGAGTCGTTTTAAAAACCTATCACTATCACCAATGTTGATCTGTCTTCTTCATTATGTAAACTTGCAGCAATGTTATTAAACGATGTGATCGAACCGTGAAATATCACAAGCATCCCTTACTTTAATGTATCACAATAATTATATGAGATTAAATATTTATGCCTGGAGGAAAAAGACATAAAGCAACTCAAGAAAACTAGCTTAGCTAAATTTACAGCTTGCAGTGAACTGAAATTTCTTTTAGAAACTATGTTTATGTACGTAAATCTATATCAACTCGCTCTAATAAAAATAAATGAGGAATGTAACCTATTACTGGCAATAACCAAATTGTATACAGGTATTTATAACAGGCTTCACGTAATAATTTGACTATATGTAGATGTAATGTGGGAGTTTTGTCTGGGTTGGTCAGGACGTGTCAATGTAGCTGACGGAATGTGTACGCGAAGCGGGCGGGGTACGCTTCATTACAATGTGAAGTGTCAGTCATCAGTTGTGTCTAAAGTTAATATTGCTTAATTTTAAAATCAAAATGCTGTTACTAGTTTCATATCTATGAAGTACCTGCCTAATTTTTTTATAGCACCTTATCAAGGACAAGAAAATATTGTTTTTAAACAATTGTGATAACAGCAGTTTCCGAATGCTTAACTTGAACGATCCCCGACGTGGACTCTAAGCTAGAGTTCAAAAGTGCATGACGTTCGTGGGCGCGTAGGTCTCACCCTCGCCCAGCGGCGACCGGTCCGGCGCGCGCAGCGGCGGCGGCGGCGCCGGCGACACGTCGCTGCGGCCGCCGGACTTCTGCACCACGCGCAGCTCCGAGATGCGCATGGAGCGGTCCACGGACTTGCACATGTCGTACAGCGCCAGCGCCGCCACCGCGCAGCCCGTCAGCGCCTCCATCTCCACGCCCGTGCGGGCCGTGGCGCGCGCCTCGCAGCGCACGCGCAGCGCGCCGCCCGCCTCGCACGCGCCGCGCGGCAGCTCCACGCGCACGCGCACCGCGTCCAGCGCCAGCGGG